AAAGCAAAGGTGATACAGGCAGGCGCAGCGACTGCGCGATTTTCAACTGGACGCACGAAGTGAACCAATGTGTTAACATCACGGTGAGTTCGATCCAGTTGCCCCTTGTGACGGCAACTGCTTAAACCTCGACATCTCTGTCACACAGTCAATCTGTGCTAGCACCTCCATATTATGGTGGGTTCCAGGAGTCTCTCATTTTTCCCCAGATTTATTTATTTTCATTCCTCTTCACGTACCCGTTTATAATTCCACCATCATGCTTTCTTTATATGAATTTCGTGTCACGAAGCTTGCATGCCTTCATGACAATTTAGGCACAAAATAGCTCACAACATAATATTCCCGATTTCCCAGCTGAATTGCGTAAAAAATATGCAAATTCCTTGATAATTTAGATTTGGTAAATCTCTGCATGACTATTCCAAGCTGGAGGTGAATACTTTCCACACGGCTATCCTCCACTCCCATGTGCCAGCACATCTACCAATGACTTGGTTGGACAAGCGTCTCTGCCAACTACTCTTCCAACAACCTTCACCAGCTTCTTTTCTAAACGCTCTTGCAGCCATTCAATATCAGAAGGCACAAATTGACTCCTGTCAAAGCCTTTTATCAACGCTGGCGCAGAACCGACAACACATTTCTATGCACTTTCGCCTTCTCTAAACTTCAATCTGGGCTTGCCATTCTTCTGTGAATGTATACCCTGGATAGCATCACTACATGTTGCGGATACCAAGTACGTTCCAATGAACGCATTTGCAGTTGGCGCGAATGACGTTAGAACATATGGATCCAACTCGCACCGAGGTTCTACTGAAAGTGGTGTGGGTCATGATACGAGAAGGATCCCATGTTTGGGGGAACGAGATAAACCTGGCTGCTGCAACTGCATAATCTACCTTGTGGATCCTTTGCGATTCCACAGGGATGATCTGACAGCCACCTTAGAATCTGTTGCATTCCGGAAAACACTAGTTCATATTGCTCTTATAAATGCAACGACAAATACGTCGTTGATTGGCCTCTACTGGCGGCTGTAAGAACAAATTGGCGACTGTGGTGCATCAAGAACCACCGACAGAACCTTATTAAGTGACGTGAGTTGTTGAAGTGGGCCCCATACGACGTGATCTCCAGGAGATCTGAAAGTAGCAAGGATGACTACTTCGCTCCGATTCGATTGTAACCCATGTTCATTTAGTAATGGTGATGTTTTATTTCGCCTTCGACTCTGATTTGTTTGTTGGGGTAATTTGGTTCAGGGGGCCCCAAGTAAGCCTTGCAGTTGCCATGTTAACATACAGCACTGTCTACGAGATGCCCTACTATTCGTCAGGACATATACAAAGGAAGGTCCCCTACACTACACCTATCTCCTTCAGAATAGACTGAGCAGAGGCTAATGCGTTGCTCCTCAGTCACGAGTGCTCATTTTATGAGCTTGCTTGATTTAAGTTGTATGTGCTGCTTGAACAACTAGTGTTCTGGTAACAGGCTCTGCGAATGAAAGTTGTGGGTTTCATTGAGAGGGGAGTATAGACTAAGTGAAGAGCGGTTGCTAACACTTACAGTCGGAATGACATGGTTCACTCGATTTTTGGCGGTTACTGACAGCGTACGGACTGTACGACCATAAATGGCAATGCATGACCCGGTCTGACATCATGTCTGATCCGGTCATTAATATTTCACACACTCATAGCGAATATTGGCGCAGCGTTTGGCAGATGTGTATCCATATCTTTTGTGTAGTGATTTAAGCATTCATGCCTAAAGGGTGGATAGTTAAGTCTGCTTCTCCGCCTCACTCCCCACTTGCGTGTCTATTTCAATTCTGTCAAATGAGCCATGCGAAAAAGCGTTCATGCATGCTACTTTGCAGCATACACTTACACTCCTGTCAAGCATTGCTGCAACAACACCTACTCTACTTGATCCAACCACATCTGTAATTGAATGTCATTTACTCCTTTTAGCATGCTCGAACTTACTTCCACCAAATCATCAAACGGTATGTTCATTCCCATTTTTCCAATTAGGTACCCACAAATACTGTCGAAAGGCCTGAACACATTCACGGTGAACCACGAAGAAAGAAATAGAGCAGCGAGTGCACAAGAGTGTTTTTTAATGCGTTCACTATTCATTCAGTTCGCAACTGGCTCACCTCATTACTATAGTGTAATACGATAGTGGTTTATCCCTCCGTATTGGTGAGGCGCCACTTTTGTGCTTTGAATCAGCCCTCGCGTACCTCGCCGGGTGGGCTGGCCCCTTGGGCCATGCCAATAGCCCAGACACCTTCTCTGCGCTGAATATGTATTCTGCCCGAGTATTATGTCTTCTTTCGTCTTCAGCGAAGTCTCTGGACGCTACATTGGTGGCAGCGGAAAGCGAGCCCCATCTTAAAGGACATGCATCCCAATTTTCCACTTCTGCGTGATAAGCCTTAGTGGAGCGGCTGAGGCGAATTCAATCAAACGCAAGCTAGGTTAAGTAATAAAATGTATTCCAAGCATGAAAGCAGTTTCTAACAATAATATTTAAGAAATCGTTAGAAATGTTTTTCTCTCTTATTTTGTAATCACTTTTTTTAATGATTTCTTCTGATTTGAGGCGAACATTTAGCCTCTGAAAACGGTATAGACTAAACCCAGAGGCGACCACTTTTCCCTACACAAGTTAATAAGATATGCTGACATCCACTGATAAAAAATCATTGAGTGCCATTTAAGGCGCCAGAGCTAAAATTAAGCGCTTCAGGTGTGACAAAATTCGAGGCTATATGCTATGATTAAAGGTAATGGGAATGAAGATGCGGAGGGACTGAACATGAAAGTAGATGCTGAGGGCCCAGAAGGCAAGTGTCAACGTGCTGGAACAAAATTAGCACAAATTTAGGCAGATCATGAAACACTGCATCAAATGCCATGACAGGATACAGAACAACCCTAAATTGGGTATAGCGAAAAGGGATGGGCACAGTCCTCCGCATCTATTATGCAGCTCTCCACTCAATGCAGTGACTTGTGGTAACCTTAAGACTCCTGTAGAAGGAGTCATCTTACCCCTAGCTCTCACCATCACGTCATTTTATTGCTTCTAATGTGTCAGTAGGTGCCTCTGTCTTAATAATGGTTAGGAACTCCCGATGGTCTGAATGCACGCTCCTATGCATGGCTTGGAAGAGGAGCTACTCGGTACATCAAGTAGACCAATATTCAGGGATCAGTGGAAATGCGGCTTATACCTATGATTGCATGTGTAAACGCAAATAGGCAGAAATGGATGATACTGTTGGGATGGACAGGAAAAGCTGAGCCAAATTAGCAATGTTTGCTATCCACGTCTTCGATTATATGCGTCAATGCATGGGTATACATCTGCAATAGACAGTGTAATACGTTGGTCATTTGTTCAAGGATCGGTTTTTGGTAGAGGATTACATTGTCTAGGCCACTGTACTTTGCCAGTGGGCTGGTCTTCGGGCCATTCTAGTAACCTTAATTTTTATCTGTATGTCTAATATACGTACTCCTCCCAAGTATTGTGTCTTACTTCGTTTTCAAAGAAGTCACAGAACGCCACTTAGAGCAAAAATAACTGTACTTCCCTGTGTATATGGCAGACAAATTGGGATTGAATCGCTTGAATGCCAAGCAATTTTGTCATTGTGTATTAGTGGCAAACAAAGATGGGCAGATTCGTGAAGATTGAATTGATGTTGACAAGGTGTCTTATATATGCTTGGCAGATCATTTCTGGAATGTAAGCACTTTTAGATTCTAGTCAAATGCTGATTATTCTCTGCGCTTGAATGAACTTAGTCCTTTTGGCGTGGACTGACTGAACTGACGAACTGCAGAAAACTGGTAAATGGGAGTTGTCCCTGTGTCCATAGTGGCGCTGGCAAACTCCGGCTTCGGTCGTTTCTCTCTCATGCTCAGCAGAGGAGGTCAGGTGTCCGCCTTCATGAAAAAACGCTAGATCGAGACAAAGATGAGACAGTTTAATTAGTCGTCAGTTATTTCTCTAAATATGAAGCGTTTGTGGCGCCGATTGACCGCCACGCCTGGGTGAGGTAGCCCTCACCACTGCATTTTCTCAAACTCAGTTGGTATAGCAAGTGGTTGTGTGGCATAGTTGATCCACGGGTGTTTTCTTTCATCACGTTTAAGTTGTGGTGGCTGGCGCAAGGGATTTAGGAGGGGCGATGCCGATGACAGCCCTCAAATGGGTAGGAAGGCTATGCAATGCGTTAGTTGTTAGCATAATGTTTGGTTGTGGTAGAGGGCCATTTTGTGTCTTGGCAATTTTTCCTCGTCCAGCGGGCTAACCAGCTAGCAATGCCAGTAGCTTGAATTTATACCTTGAATTTATGTATTCTGTCAGCTACCTATTCCCTCACAGTAGACTGCATCACTTTCTCTCCCTCATCACCACTCGCCTGCACTCATTCACTTGCCATTTCCACTTCTTCATTTTCAATTCCAACTGCCTGTCTATTCAATTTCATGCGTCATTCCTTTCTATTTACCCTCCACATACCTAGTGCAAGGACTACGTCCATAACGAAGATTTCACTGTTCTTCTACCAACGAGCGCACACACCACCATCATACTTTTGCAGTTACTTAGCAAACACAACACAAATTTCCTTCAACCCACATTATTCATTACCCTTATTTATGCCACAGCTTTATTGTCAAATTACCTATTTCTGCATAAACCTCATTCCACACCACCACCACCACCACCTCCATGACCTGAGCCAGCAAGCCAGCACTTCTGCACCTGTATTAACGCGCCGTCACCACGCAAAGCAACACTGTTCCACTTCATCAAGGTGGCAAGTAGTCATCAACGAAATCAATTGCCATGTGTTTAGGTTGACGTAAGCTGCACATCATCTTTCATTCATTTGTCTCTTAGTCTTCCCGGTTTACTTAATTTGGCAACTTC